CTACTTTCAAGAAGTCGTAGATAAAACGTATATTACACGTGAGATAGTGGTCTTATAATACTCGTGCTCTTACTTATCTAACGCCCTCATCTGGTAACTCATTGCACTCGTAATGATAACGATGCCTCTATCCCACTTGTAATATAAATAACTAATAAATTATTAAACAATTGTTAAAAATATGCTTTGAGATTCACTGTTTCTTCTGTATTTAATAATGTACCTTTACTACTTATACAAGCACGCTTTTAAAAAAATTTGGTCAAAAGTTATTTCGACAGAACTTGCCTTGCCTAACTAATAAGTTAAGTTAAGGATATGTGCATAGCAAAGTAAAGGGAGGTTTCGCATATTTCAAGTGAATTTTTCCATTACAAAATTTTCTGATGTAGTCATCAACATTCTGTCAAGAACACATATAACAACTTCGACAGGTGAAGTCTAATATTAACAATAATAATATGTATTATGCTTATTCCCAAATTTTGGATGAGCCATTCTTGATTTAATCAATAAAATAAATTGCCCCATTAATTCATTTTTTTCACTTAACTCTGTAGAAGCGATTCTAAATAAAGGTGTCACTCACAACAACCGTACAGACTGAAATATCAGCGAAAACAATGGAGTGCGGCTACTCTGGTATCGAGTAGACACTCACTTTTGCTTTGATACAAACATGTTAATCGAAGAAACCAATAACTCAAAACAAGAAGTGGACACGGCCGAAGGTCATAATTTACGATTGTTTCTACTTGTTTGAGAATTTGCCTAATTTTTTGAAAGCAAAAATCATATTTCAAACGAGATTTTCTTAATGCAAAAAATATAGATGATAAGAGTTATAGTTTCACTCAAAGCGGATCTTTTGAGATCGCGTCATGAATTTCTTGGTGTGGATGACTTTTTTACCACGACTTTAGACACAGCACATTCCTAATAATACACATACAAAATCAGACGGTTTCAGAGATTATTTACCTAATAAAAATCGATACAGACGACAGACGACAGACAGACGGAAACCGGAGACCACTTTCTTCGTACTCTAGAGATCACGAAACGTCGAGAAAACATGAAAGTAGCCAGTCGCCCGATGAACTATATTACAATATTCTCTCGCTTACGCTCGGGAAGTAAAAATTAATGCATAAAGCAATTCCTGAATTGATTTAGTCAAAAAGTGTTTACCTAATTTACCTGAAATTGCAACTAGTAAAGTCTCCCAAAATTGATGTATTCGGCCTCAAAAAAATGACTTAATTTAATAATACACATCTATTTTGAAACAAAAATTATCCCAAAAAATAAAGTTAACAGAGTGAAAATTTAGAAACTAATGAACATATTTAGAAAAAAATGTTAAACATTAAACGCTAGTGATTAAATAATATCAATAAAATTTTATTTATTCATTTCCTCCAAAACATTCATGGCATCGTATTAGTATTTAGCATCTCATTTACAGTGTATATACGTAGAACGACATACTATATTATAAATTGGTGGTTTAATAATAATGCGTCATTTTAGTTTAACGCATATAGCTTATTGTAAAAAATTCAAAATAAAATTTATCGTTACCCTAGAAAGAATAAAAGTATTATTATATGCTTATTATCTATAATTTAACTTTGGAAAGAAATCAACGAATTGCATAAAGAAAAGTGTTAAGATTTTGTTTTTGCTCACAAAAATTTAATTGACTGGAAATATTTATGAAAGAGATACTCTTAACATGCACAGGATACTGTTCAGAGGGCGACAAAGCCGTGAGACTAGTGTTTTAAATTTAAGACGATTAAATCAATATGTCGTTTTATAAAATTAAAATTTGGCGCTTTATGTCATAAATTTGTTTGTACTAGCATTTACCTATTATTGTTATTACCTATTACATTGACATTGCACACACAAAAATAAAAAAAAGAAAATAATAATTTGTGTGTACTTAGTAAATAGTCATTTTCATTATTCTCTTTCAGTGTACCACTTTCGAATTTTATATTAGTATACATACTAACATACAATATTTAATTGTACAAAAAGTATGTAACGGTCGTTATTCCTGCTACTAAAGTAAAAGGTGGACAAGACGATCTAATAATAAAATTCTTTTGTTTGGAAACTCTTGACCTACTTGAGCAAATCTGTAGGCGATTAGACAAGCAAACTTATTTCATTATAGTACCAGCAGGAGTAATTTAATACAAAAAAAAAAAAAAAACACGCAACTAATGTAGCATGCAGATAATTTTCGACCCTTCTAAGCGCTCATTAGTTATATTAATCATTATAATTTGTACAAAAGTTCCTAATTAGATTTAAAATATTTTGTAACTTTGTATACGCTGAAAAGGTTAAAAATTACTGTTAGAAGTTGTTATTTAGAATAATATTTTATATCAACTAAATTTAAAAATATGTAGGAGTTGGCAGCAATTTTGCCGTTAAATAGGTTGTTAAGTCTGGGAAAAGCACTAAAATTAGGTACAGTTACAATAAGGATCTATCTGATACCATCCAACGAACGGTTAATAACATTGCATTAGTGAATCATGAGCATCATTCTGCATAAACAACAAAATGTCGTTAACATTTTTCCAAATATTGCAAGTTATAGTATTTATCTTCCATAAATCATGTATACAATCTCGTTTATTTACTGTGTGAACACAAAATCTTTCATTAATAATGAATATCACATAGTCTGTATTGTTATATTTTTAGTTATCAATGGATACGAGAACTTAAAATTATCTAAAAGGTTAAACTTTAATTTATCAGTCATGAATGTCTGCAAATAAATGAAGTATCTGCTATAACCCCTACATCACAATGACAGATGTGTGTAGTAAAACCTGATATTTTTCATCGCTGGTTGTTTATGTCTCTATGACAAATGTTATATTTAAAGATAATGTAAAATCAGAAAGGACGGACGCTTTCTAGACTATGCCTCTGCACTTGCATTTCTGATTACTATATCATATACCTCAATGAAAAATAATAACGAAACAAAAACCACAGACTGTGGAGAGAATGGTGATTATGGTGGATGTGCTATAGTCCATCACTTAAATAGCAGTTTCGCAGCTGAAGATCTGCAGAATGGAGTTCGGAAAATAATAAACAAAATAAACCGCATTTACATCATGTTGTAATTTCGACAGTGAACCTCATTGTAAAAGTTTGAATAACCGCATTTTACATTCTTACACATTTCCGTCATATGTTTTAGGTGCTTGAGCAGCAGCTGTTCTGATTGAATTGAATGTGAAAATAACATTACGATCCCCATTATTTACTCTTATAGTTACTTGTGCAGCACATACATATTACTTTTTCGAATTAAAAATGAATGGATGCACTCAGTACTTTTATCATAGCAGTGAATTTTTATTTATAAAGATCATGTTTTGAGTTTTTACACGAGACATTTTTTTTTTAAATCAAACTTGTGTAACAACATTTTGCAATTTAATTTTGAATCTGTAAAACCGAATGCTTTGAAATCTTTCAGACGTGTGCCGCACACTTTTCCAGTCACTACACGCACCTTTTTTCACATTTGACACCATTTCATATTACAATTGGCTCGATCTTCCTCTTCCACTTTTTTTAACTTTAGTTTCCCATACTTCTTTTGATACCCTTTCACTGGGCATTTTTATCACATACCCCACCATCCAAGCTATACGGAGCGATAGTATTTAGCGTTGTATTTTTTAGGACAATTACTATAATTGGGATTATTAAAATAAAAACTTAACTTTGGAGATGCACTAGGTGGCAGAAACGATTTTATTCGTTAATGAACCAAAAACTCCACATTCTACTTTCTAACTAGAACAGATTACAGAAAATAATAAATAATATTTCCAAAGAACTGGAGACATGTGCAAACTTGTGTTTAAAAAATGTATAGTACGTTTTCCCGAAAACAGTAACCACAGAGAACTGTAGCAGCAGTCCAGGAATTACTCTATATTGTGAAAACTAATGGGTGAATATAGTAGGTTCAAAATAAATATACTAAACAAATTTTCCAAAAAATTCAGATAAACTGGGAAAACATGTAGCTACTAAATCAAAATATTAAATAAAAAAAATCTTGTTGGAAAATGAAAACAAGTAACCAACGTAAGAATGAAATAATACATTTTACCACAATCTCGATACATTTTTTTTTTGTTATTTGTAAGAACACCAACAGTAAGATGGTTACTCTAACAAAGTAGGTAAGTACTTTGAAAGAATCTTTTAAGATAATACAAAATTAAGAAAAAAATTCAAGTAGGTAAACACGTGATAGAAAAATTTTGAAAACTTGAGTCATAAATATCTAAATAATAAAACCAGATGAAGGCAAGAGTTTAAATAAATATCTACATATTTACACAATATTTTTTTCATTTTTAATTAATTAAACACGAAAAACAGTTCACAATATGCTTGTGTATGCATTATGTGTTAAATTTTATCTCTGTGAGTGTAACCTACCGAAATTATGTACCTTTCCAACTGCACCTGAAAATAAAGAAGCAAAAATCGATCCATAAAATCAAATCAAATATTCCGCTTCCTTTTACTCCTAATCATTTTGAAAATAATTCATCCTCGTTCAAATATTAATAAATCTTGGATTATTCATGAGCAATTTGTTCCAGTGATTCTTGAAGTGATTGTACGGTTTTCAGTAGCGGACTTGTTCTTGCGGTGCATAATTGCATAATTGCCCTGACGAAGCATGATTTGCAGTTCTCTTCTCCGAAGAAGAGCACTCCAACGGCCACTTATTCCTCATATGCATGCCTCGCACATACCTAACTTCTCTAAAATAAGTTTAATATGATTTATTTTTGCATCTTGATGCAGTGCACTACTGTACAATATAAGTACACCAGGAGAACTGCTTGGACAACTGACGTAAAATATTGTGGGGAAGAGCACTGACCCCTCCTTTGCGAAAGAGTGGTCGTCTCCAGCGAAACCAAACTACAACACACTGGATGTTAACTCAGTCGAAAGCATACAGCAGGTCGGTTTGACATAAAAGCGCATCTAACAGCAGTAAATTCATTACAACAACCGGCCAGTATCTATTACGCGCTTTGATCGTATTTCAGCACTTCTCGCAGTTCGTTATAGTCTAATTTATGATCTCGTTGAAATGTGTTAAAACAGATTTCGTTGACTGATTTTATTCGAATATCTGAATTAAATAACCGTATATTTACACTTGTTTAATATCAGTGCTGTGCAATGCTTGTTATTTTTGTTGTTGTTACTGTTATCAGCGCAATCAACGCAGAAGCTGGGGGTGAGTACGCAAGATTATTTTAATTTAATTTTGATTCCATATCTACCGGATCTACATAATACACAAAGTTGTTGATATAATTATACAGATATAATTGGTACAGTGACCTCATTCTGTCAAAACAATATCGTCAAGACGATTCAAATTAAATCAAAATTAGGACGGATGGCCTAAGATTTATTATTCCCATATACAAGGCCTCGACGAATGTCCGATTGACTATAAATTATGATCTTCATCTTCGATATACAAAGTATGTATTGTATGAATTAATAAGTACATTTTTCTTGTTCCATTATTAAAGGTATCTAAATAAAAATTATTTACACTTTACAAAATTAGTCGTAAGACGAAGCAAAATTTCTGTGTCAGGGGCATGAATACCAAAAAAAGCACATAATGGAAAAAAATTGAAGAACTAATAATTAATACCGCTAAACATGTAACAACGACTAAAATCACATAGTCAAAGCTACAAATAATAATCGTAATAATATATAGATTCAGATTTGTCACCTAGTTTAATGTTGCTTTAAACATTTTTTCCCAAATTTCCAAAGGGCTACTTAAAAAACAAAAGATTTTTCTACATCCATACTTTGGTCGAAAATATACATCATTTTGCAAACAATTTAGACATAATTCTTTGAAATTGTTATTTTTAAAACAGCACTTTCACATCTTATGCTAAAAAAACGTACCTACTTATCGTTCCAAGAAAGCACTAATAATTTTAAGAAACGATTAAACAGAATTTGAACAGTTTTCTTTTTTTGGATATAATAAACATAATAATATATGTAATAATCCCTCAGTTGGTACAGAATTCTTAAGAGGATGAATCAACAGTGTGAAATTCTTCAATAGCTCTTAAAAGATACATACAGACAGGACGTGCCACCAAAGTTCTCAGAAATTAAATTTTAACCTTCTAGAAATGGTTGCTTCGCTTTCAATAAACAACACTAACAGAAACCAAGCTTTATTTAATTTAATTGGTGTTTTTTATATGTTTTTGTTTTGAACTTTTTACTCTAACTTCATAGTTTTTCAAATATTCATATAACTTTTTTCTATATTAATAAGCTAGTGTTTTTCGCGATAGTAGGTTTAGAAGGTATAAAGGGACAAATTCATTCTCAATCAGTGGGACCAATTAGTGTATCCCAAAGGTCAAATGCCAAATAAACAAAGAAACATACAACGGTGTCTTTTTTAACGTTGCAATAGGGATTTGTGTGCTAAAACTTTGGGTCATGTTACTCGTGTTGATGAGTTTTTTTTTTTTTCTAGCAGGGATATTCAAGTGAATTTTGGCAGAATATTGAGCCAGTACTTTATAAATCAGTGTCAGTTCAGTTCATCGTACAAAACAAAACAATTACGAACTTATAATACAACTTAGCTTATGCTCGGGAAGTAAAAAGAACATTAAATATATATTATTTTATTAATTTAATAAATTTTATTTGTTTGTAAAATATTCTATTGTCTAATATTTTGCCAAAGTTCACTCGGAAGTCCCTGCTAGAAAGATAACAGGACCCAAAGTGTTTAGCACCCCATGGAAAGCGTTAAAAAAGCACGGTACAACAACATATCAGGTGTTCAATCATCAAGTTGGCCTAGATTTATTCTAAACATTGTACGATAAACCTACAATTTAATCGATGACAGCTGAAAATGCGGAAATGTCTATTATACACAAGAGTATGAATTAATAAAACACATGCGTTTTTCATTACGTTTCCTTTTATCAAGAAAGCACCGCCATCTTTATACTTTTTAAACTGAACACCCGTTACATTTTCATAACTTTTTAAAGTAATTCCTATTACAATAAAAACATTCAGAAAGAGGTCTCAATAACTTTTTGTAAATCTTTGTATTGGGAGTCTTTGAGATGGGCTGTGTGCATTATTATATATATTTTTACACAAGTTTCAGTTATATCGACGTTCATGACATGAATAGAATTAGGGTAAAAAAGTTTATTTTATATGTTTTGTAGCTACAGTGAAAACAGGAATAACGAAGGATGGAAACGTTTAACAAATGTTTGAACAAAATTTGTTAATTGGTTTAGTTGATTTCAAAAATAAAATTATTCGCTTCAATGTTAAAAAATTTTGGTACAGTGCAGATATTTGTAGACGTATATATATATATATATATATACGTCAATAATAACTTTTGGCCTCGCGCCAGATTTAGGCAACAAGTAATGGGAGAATATGAAAACCACATCCTAGCCTCAAACCTGTCATATCAGTGTTCAAATTTGTATTTATGGTTGCATTCTTTACAACAAGCGAATGCTTGACACGTTTTAAAGTAGGTAAATATTTGGAGTTATAGTTTAAACTGTTTTCGAGCAAAAGAAAGAAAAAGTGGTATGAATCAGTTTATTCAGAAATAATTTTTTGGAATTAAAACAGCCACATAGAGGCTGAAGAAATTAAGATAATCAAAGAGAAAAGAAAACAACTTAAAACTAGGAAAGAGCTTACTTCGTAGTAAGTGCAATTATATTCTATGAACATTTAATACTACTATAAAACACCAAAGTAGATTATTCATATTTCTTATGAAGTTAGAGATTGCAATTATTAACAAAGTTGACAACGTATGGATAAAGTTAAATATATATCTTTTAGTCAAAAGAGGTGTCTGCATAATTTGTTACAGTGTGTTTGCAGGTATATTTGTACAATGCAGCAGCTGCTGCATTCACTATCCAAATGTAATCTATAAATAATGATTTGTCTGGTGTATGGTGCAGTCTTAAAATTAGGTATTTTTACTATATTTCAATTGGATAAATATTTTTACACATATTTGTAAATTCTCGTGCTTTGCCAGTTTTAGACGTTGGAATTTTAATTATTAGCGTATCGTTTTTGTCTTGAATGCCGTCATTATTTTTCAATTTATCCATTCCACATGCTCCTACAACTTCTAATAAAAAATAAACCTAAAACATAATGATTTATAGACAATGTGATTGACCTTGTTTGAGATCACCTTTAACATCGGGGACATTTAATCACGGGCTTCTGTTAAAAATTTTGGTAAGTCTTCTCTTGTAAATATATTTGATTTCTTGGCAATGTAACCTATATTTTTTGCTTGAAAACTTGGTGTACTTAGATATATCTATGCTGTTTCTTATTAACAGAGTTGACTTTAACTACGACTATGCAGCCCAAAGTGTTAAAGATTTCACAGAATTTGCTTTTTCAGCGAAATACTCGTATGCAATGAGGTGTTCTCCATATATTTTGCATGGTTGTTTCTGCGCAAAAAAAAAATTCATACCGCTTTTCATAAACTGTGGCTGAGTTTTTAGGTAATAAATTTGATATATTATCTGCCAGTTTTTGCAAGTTCGGTCGAATGCATGTAAACTGCTTGTTATTATTGCTATCCATCTCTATTTTGCAATTGCTACAGATCTTTCTGCAAGCAAAAATATTAAAAGTGCCGAAAAATAAGAGGTATGCTTCATACTTTCATTTAAAATGGGCATGTAAGCTAATAATGTTCTGTAATAATAATAAAAGCTTATTATAGGTTATGTAGATACAAGAAAATTGTTCAAATTCTTCCATTCCGCATACTCCTACAACTTCGAATAAAAAATATACCTAAAACATTATGTTTTATAGACAATGTGATTGACCTTCTTTGAGATTACCTTTGACATTAGGTACATTAATCACGGGCCTCTGTTAAAAATTTTCCTAAGTTTTCTCTTGTAAATATATTTGATTTCTGGGAAACATAACCTATATTTTTTGCTTGAGAACTTGGTGTACTTAGATTATATCTATGCTGTTTTATATTAACAGAGTTGACTTTAACAACGACTATGTAGCCCAAAATGTTGATTTCACAGAATTTTCTTTTTCAGCGAAATACTCGTATGCAAAATGAGATATTCTCCATATAATGTTTTCCATGGTTGTTTCTGCACCGAACAAAAACTTATTACAGGTTATGTGGATACACATTGTTCGCTGCCATAGAATGTCGCTGCACTTCAAGAAATCCACTGTTGCCATGCAAGGTTGCGACGTTGCGAGATTATGCGCAAATTTAGTTAATAAATTATATTTATAAAATTAATAAACCGGATGTGTTTCTAATAACTAATAAAAAGGGTTAACAAAGAGTATAGAATTACTGCTAAACCGAAAAACAATTTATAACCTTGTAAAATGTAATTGTGGAGGTAGATAATACTAATATGACAACACCGCATTTAATTTCTGTGCCGATTTTTGAACATAGAAAAAGCACATTACTGCGCGATTTCGAAAAAAGAAACATTACTATTTTTTAGCAGCTTTTAATCTCTCTTTTTATATTTCTCCAAGAAAGGCGTACATGTCAATTTTAAAATACCAGTTTAAGTTGGAGTAAGAAATTTACTTTTATGGTTGTGTGTACAGGCACTTCTACAATTAGCAGTACAAGTTTTTGTTAATCTCTTAAATTATTTTTCTACTTATGGAGCCAATCTGGATATTTGCTTAAGGGTGTGCTTTAAATTTTAGGAATTAATATCTTGGAACGTCATGCATCGTTTCCATACATTTTTGAGCTTCTGTTTTATTTTCTAATCACTTGGAATTTCATTTCCAAAAACAAAAATTGTACTTGAAATGATAGATATGAAGCTCATTATTCCGAAACATGTAATTATAAGATCAAATGTTACTATGCATGAAATGTATTATTTGATATAAAGTAACTTTTGATATCGCATTCTTTAGATTTTTTTCATGGGTACTTTACAGTTAATAGTATCACCATGAAATTGTCTCTTAGATTTGTTTTTCTTTCTTCCGGTATTTGAATCACAATTTGATAATCTTAAAACAACGACAATTAATTTAACTTTAGCTTGAGTTGTGAACCTGAAAGTTGTTTTGTATGAATTTGTGTGACAAAAGTGTACTAAAGATGAAAATAATTACTTATACTCTTTTATAATCATTAATTACATTTGTAGCAATTTTTGGCCTCTCGTATTTTATATTATTTTATCCAAGAAACAAGCGAAATTTGAAAAACCAGTTTAATATTTTAATGGAGCAGTAATTATGAACCCAAATGTTGCTATGGATAAAAACTATTATTTGACTTAAATTAACTTTTGGAATCACAGTCTTTGGATTTTTTTCGTAGATACTCCACAGTAAACAACATAATTATAAATCTGTCCCTTTGATTTATTAATTTCTCAATCCGCCGATATTTGAAAGACGATTTGGTATTCTTAAAACAAGGGTTACTAATTTAATGTTTCCTTGGACTGTGAGCCTGAAAGTTGTTTTGTATGAATCCATATGGGGTCAAAGTGTACTAAAGATGAAAAGAATGACTTCGTTTATAGCAACTTTTGGCCTCTCGTGTTTAATATTTCTCCAAGAATGTTTTTAATTTTGTAAGATATTGGGCCAATAAAACATACACCGACAACATTATTTGCAATTCTTTCAACCACCTATGAATTCATAAAATATCAACTTTTGCATCTTTAATTGAAATACTGTTCAATTCTAATCTAAACCATGAAAACTATAATAAAGAACTTCAGTCCATAAAACAAATTGCAATAAATAATGACTTTAAAGTAAAATTAATCCACAATCTAATTGACAAAATAAGATACAAAATTAAAAAAAAAAAACAATGTTGCTCGTTGTTCAAAACGGACCATGATACTAAGGAAGACATAGGTAGATATTATTTTCTGGATTTTATTGAAACATTATCTTACAAAATTAAAAACATACTAAATAGAGTGAATAAAAATGTTAATATTTCATTTAGAAAAATTAATTCAACCAGAAATCAGTTACTGAACAACAAAGATAAAATTACTTAACTAGATAAAGCCGGAGTCTATCAATTACAATTTGAATGTTGAGATTGTGCCTTAAATTTTACGAATCCATATCGTGAAATAATACACCTCATGAATTTCACTGGCTTGTGTTGAAATTTCGGGTTTCCAATTTTAAATTTATTAATCTAGTACTTCGTTCCAAAAACAAAATTGTGCCCGGAATGATGGGTTAATTACCTGTTTTCACATATACGAAGCGCACGAGTCCGACAGTTACCTAACATGCAATTATGAGGCTAAATGTTGCTATGGATGAAAACAATTATTTGAATTAAAGTAACTTTTGGCATCACAGTCTTTAGATCTTTTTTCATAGGTATTTTACACTTAACAACATCATTATGAATTTATTTCTTAGATTTATTTCTCAATCCACCAATATTTGTCTTAACCTCATAGAAAATGTTTCGTCTTATGGAAAAAATCTGAATCTTTACACTTGGGGGTGTGCCTGAATATATAGCACCGAATATTGCCTCACATGAATTTTACTGCCTCGATTTGACCAAATTTTGGGTTTCCGATTTTAGATTTAATCATGTACCTAGTACTTTAAGATATGTTAGCACATGAGTCCGAAATTATGAGGCCAAAAGTTTCTATGGATGAAAGCCATTATTTGATTTAAAGTAACTTTTGGCATCACATTCTTTAGATTTTTTTAATAGTTACTTCACAATTAATAACATAATTATGACTTTTTCTTTTAGGTTTATTTCTCTTATCTGTTATTAAAATAACTGCCATTAAGTTAATTTTAGCCTGGGTTGTAAGTTTGAAAGTTGTTTTCTACGATTCTGTGAGGCCAAAGTCTACAAAAGATGAAAATAATTTTAGGCCAGATAGTTCAACACTCAGCCAATTATTTAATTTTATTTATACTATTTTCGTGTGGTATAGCAAGAATAATGGTCAAAAATCAAGTATTTTAGGATCAAAAAACGGCACATCATTTTCCAGATAATATTAACACTAATAAGTCTAAAAATCTAACCAAATATTGACTTTTTTAAAGTGTTATAAGTTTACTGACGAGGTGGCTGAGAAAGGGGATGAACCCTGAAACTGGTATCACCAAAATAGTATAAATAAAAATAAATAATTGGTTGTTTGCAGAACTACCTAACCCAACTTTATACCCACGCTAATATGGAAACACACATATCAAAATAGTTAGCTCATTTATAGCAACTTTCGAACTCTGGTATTTTATATTTGTCTAAGTAGGAAGTACTTAAAAAATTTAAATTATCACTTTAGCTTTGAATAAAAAAATATTTTTATGAATGCGTCTACAGATACTTCTACCATCCACAGTCTAATTTGGTTTTAACTTCATACAAAATGTTTCGTATTATGGAAATAATCTGAATCTTTACACTTGGGGGTGTGCCTGAATATATAGCACCGAATATTGATTCACATGAATTTTTCTGCCTCGATTTGACCAAATTTTGGGTTTCCGATTTTAGATTTATTCATGTACCTTGTACTTTAATGTATGTTAGCACATGAGTCCGAAAGTCATTCGTCATGTAATTATGAGGCCAAAAGTTTCTATGGATGAAAGCCATTATTTGATTTAAAGTAACTTTTGGCATCACAATCTTTAGATTTTTTTAATAGTCACTTCACAATTAATAATACAATTATGACTTTTTCTTGTAGGTTTATTTCTCTTATTTGTTATTAAAATAACTGCTATTAAGTTAATTTTAGCTTGGGTTGTATGTTTGAAAGTTGTTCTCTACGATTCTGTGAGGCCAAAGTCTACAAAAGATGAAAATAATTTTAGGTTAGATAGTTCAACATTCAGCCAATTATTTATTTTTATTTATAATATTTTCGTGTGGTATAGCAAGAATAATGGTCAAAAATCAAGTATTTTAGGATCAAAAAACGGCACATCAATTTCCAGATAATATTAACACTAATAAGTCTAAAAATCTAACCAAATATTGACTTTTTTAAAGTGTTATAAGTTTACTGACGAGGTGGCTGAGAAAGGGGATGAACCCTGAAACTGGTATCACCAAAATAGTATAAATAAAAATAAATAATTGGTTGATTGCAGAACTACCTAACCCAACTTTATACCCGCGCTAATATGGAAACACACATATCAAAATAATTAGCTCATTTATTGCAACTTTCGAACTCTCGTATTTTATATTTGTCTAAGTAGGAAGTACTTAAAAAATTTAAATTATCACTTTAACTTTGAATAAAAAAATATTTATGAATGCGTCTACAGATTCTTCTACCATTCACAGTCTAATTTTGTACTAACTTCATACAAAATGTTTCGTATTATGGAAAAAATCTGAATATTTACACTTGGGGGTGTGCCTGAATATATAACACCGAATATTGATTCACATGAATTTTACTGCCTCGATTTGACCAAATTTTGGGTTTCCGATTTTAGATTTATTCATGTACCTTGTACTTTAATGTATGTTAGCACATGAGTCCGAAAGTTATTCGTCATGTAATTATGAGGCCAAAAGTTTCTATGGATGAAAGCCATTATTTGATTTAAAGTAACTTTTGGCATCACAATCTTTAGATTTTTTTAATAGTTACTTCATAATTAATAACACAATTATGACTTTTTCTTGTAGG